TAATGGGCCATAATGGGCCATAATGGGCTGACGACTTGGTAGTGTTCCTGAAAATCAGTTTTTATTACAGGACTCTAAGCTTGGACATAGTTAATAGAGGGAAATGGTTGAAAAACCCGGTTAACACCAAGAAGCAAATAAACAGGCTAAGATTTATGTTGAAAGGTCCTTGACCCTGCACATCTTTTGCTTCATGCTCATTGACTATGCATTAACTACATAATGCTTCTGTTGATTAGTTGTATCAGCACTAAAAACCACCTTTTGTAGTTTGCTAGGTTTTGTGCTGGGTCAACCCCCAAATAGCCGATAAAACATACAGCAAAGAACATGGACATGTTTCTTAACCATCACTCTCTTTAACAATGACTTGGGCCAGAGGCTTCGAGTGCAGGACCACCTGCTATAAATTATTTTGTTAGTTTTCGTGTAATGATCGTCTATGCATGCAAAGAGCACCGTGATACCGAGCCCTTGATCCCAAATTACTTACACCCTATCAACCTGTGCGAAAATGTTGGCGATAATTATGCGTTATTATGTTTGAAGTTCCTAAACTGCATCTTTGCCTTTTGTAGGTACTAAGTATGGCCTGACTTCAAGCTGGGTCCTTACTCTGGAAGGAGGTTTGCTAGTAGCAGCCTTTCTCCCCATCACTTTGGAGCTTCCGCGTGCAAGTGCCCGTCACAGATTATGAAAACAGTCATGTATTTTGCATAGTATTTAGCTATTACTGAAATAATTAGGCTCGGATTTATAATTAACTTCTTGGTTCTGATAAACCTGAAACTTGTAATCTAAAAGAACGTTGCTGGTCTACGCTACTAGCACTGTTGTGTGACATCATATCTAACTGAAAATATATTCTGATGCTGATTTGTCATGCATACGTCGTGAGTCCTTAAACGAATAGCTATTCACGACGATCTCGTTATCATAGCCCATGTGTCCCTGAACCAGTGGTCAGGAAAACGACCACTGGTCAAGAGTAATGCGAGCTCTCTGCGCGAGAGGCCATGACAGAGACAACCGTAGACTACGAGTAGTCCCTCTTTCGCTCAGTCCGTCGTGCGTGACGCCGCGAAAGAAAACTGCGTGAAAAAAATAGCCGCGCGAAATCCTGGGGGCGAGGAGCGCGCGAAAGGAGGCCTAAGCCAGGGAGTTTGACCTTTTACGGCCGAGTGATTTTTCGGTGTAGGATTTCTTATCTTGACGCCCTCTTATTATCGCCTGTTGTCAATAACCCCGGGAGATTTCCTGAATAAAACTGCTCTACTCTACTCTTCAAGTAGCGNCAAATAAACAGGCTAAGATTTATGTTGAAAGGTTTTTGACCCTGCACATCTTTTGCTTTATGCTCATTTACTATGTATTAACTACATAATGCTTCTATTGATTAGTTGTATCAGCACTTATAACCACCTTTTGTATTTTGCTAGGTTTTGTGCTGGGTCAATCCCCAAATAGCCGATAAAACATACAGCAAAGAACATTGACATGTTTCTTAACCATCACTCTCTTTAACAATGACTTGGGCCAGAGGCTTCGAGTGCAGGACCACCTGCTATAAATTATTTTGTTAGTTTTCGTGTAATGATCGTCTATGCATGCAAAGAGCACCGTGATACCGAGCCCTTGATCCCAAATTACTTACACCCTATCAACCTGTGCGAATATGTTGGCGATAATTATGCGTTATTACGTTTCAAGTTCCCAAACTGCATTTTTGCCTTTTGCAGGTACTAAGTATAGCCTGGCTTCAAGCTGGGTCCTTACTCTGGATGGAGGTTTGCTAGTAACAGCCTTTCTCCCCACCTCTTTGGAGCCTCCGCGTGCAAGTGCCCGTCACGGATTATGAAAACAGTCATGTCTTTTGCATAGTATTTAGCTATTACTGAAATAATTAGGCTCGGATTTATAATTAAGTTCTTGGTTCTCATAAACCTGAAACCTGTAATCTAAAAGAACGTTGCTGGTCTACGCTACTAGCACTGTTGTCTAACATCATGTCTAACTGAAAATATTCTGATGCTGATTTGTCATGTATAGGTCGTGAGTCCTTAAAAGGATAGCTATTCACGACGATCTCGTTATCATAGCGCATGTGTCCCTGAACCAGTGGTCAGGAACACGACCGCTGGTCAAGAGTGATGCGAGCTCTCTGTGCGAGAGCCATGACAGAGACAACCGTAGACTACGAGTAGTCCCTCAGCTTTCGCTCAGTCCGTCGTGCGTGACGCCGCGAAAGAAAACTGCGTGAAAAAAATAGCCGCGTGAAATCCTGGGGGCGAGGAGCGCGCGAAAGGAGGGACTACCGCCTAAGCCAGGGAGTTTGACCTTTTTGCGGCCGAGTGATTTTTCGGTGTAGGATTTCTTATCTTGACGCCCTCTTATTATCGCCTGTTGTCAATAAC